CTGTTAGAATAGTTTAGCAGGTTGCATAGCAAGGTTATTTTGCCTTGGAGTTCAAAGAATGACATGGGGAGGAAGTAGCAGCGAACGGAATGTAGGCAGGAAATCGTATTTCACTGATTCAAAACCATCACTAAAGCAGACATTTCAAAGACACTTTCAAATGTGTACCGAGAGTGCCACTGATAACCAAGAGTACACCACTAGTTGATAACCCTGCCAAAAGCATGCAAACTGAGAGATACATTAAGATACTTGTCGGACGCCCTTGAAAACTTTTGCGATGATAACTATCTCACTTCTTACTGCAGTCTGCGCGCTATAACCCATTCAATTTTTACATTGGAGGACCGTTCCAACTTTCTGGATGTGCATTGAAAATGTCTTCAAAAATATCAAGTGACGACAAGATTTGGTGGTTCGTTGCTTATGCTCAGTCTCACCAGGTAAACTTCGTTACCCACTCAGTCACTTAGTCGAGCCTCCAATGAAAGCTGTGGATTTTAGGCGTCATACTGTGCAAGCCTCAATATTGACCCATAAGTAAACAACCCAAGAGTTCCCACAAAAGACGTCGTGGTAGGTGTTGATAACCCGGAACTAGGATAGAGGCGATCTCAGTTGACGTGTAGTTTCCTTACAATTCACTCTGAAACAAGACTCATGTGGAGGTCGTATTTTCAAAAGCTCTGAACAACAACAAAAAACCCAAGGCTTTTTATCCCCCCCAGAGCATGCTAGTCATAAGGAACGATGGCCACGTCAATTCAAAATATGCAGCCATGCATTTCTTATTAACCTGCAAAACGTAAATATTGGTCGAATTAGGATATGAAACCACTCATTAGGTCTGCAAAGATGAGCTTTGGTAATTGAAAATTTCATAAATGTATGTTTGTATTAAAAATTCATCCAAAATTGTGTCACGCAACATACAAACTTGCATCATCAATGTATAATCCTCTGAAGTATGCACATGAAAACTTAAAGAGACCAAATTTTTTTCTAGCTTTTAACGGAGACCTCGGCGAAATGGGAGTGAGACGTTAGTGACGTGAAACAATTGATTGCCCGTCTTACTATAATTGGTTGTGTCTAACAAGAGAATACCTTACAAATCTAACATTATGCTACAACCTAAAATACAAAGCATAAGATTTAGTCTTGTGCTTTGCCGTACAAAGCCGTAGCCATGCCCAAAATAAAAAGAAATTACGAATTGCAAAATGGACCTTATACTTCGGGATGAATAGAACCATCAGTTGTTTGTGTTTGTTCGTGAGTAAATCAGTTGAAGAAATTCCTGAGCTGAACGTTGCCGACTGAATAGCTTACCAGTGAATAACTTTGCGTAGCAGAAGTACTTATTTCATTTTTTTTGTACGTACTATCATGTTTCAATGTTAATCAAATATACAACGATTATTTCTGTATCAAATATTTACCCATAACCAGTGATTTTAAGTAGTGTACGTCCTGGATGAGCTGGTTCAAATTATAATAAGATATTTTCGCGGGGGCACCTGGGGTGAATTATGATAAAACCGTCCTTTTACCACCTATCAACAACGGTAAAGCAAGCAATAAATCTGACGGAACAGTTGTACTCGAAATAAGATGCAGGTTGTATATTGAAGACCATCAAACACGATGGCATGTTCATCTATTACGAACTCAATTTGTTCAACCATGACATTTATATTGTTAGTTTACTCAACGCTTTTCGTAAACAGATAAACAGTCCTCACTTCCCAATGATATAAATGAATTTTATAGATGTGATATTTGCTCTTATAAGTAACGCCAACAATTTTCTCATTGAAAATCTCATAAGCTGAACCAGAATGCTCATAAGAAGCAGCAGTCAGTTTGAAACATCAAGTAATGACTGCTAGATTTATTTGCCTTTAATAATTATTTGTATGTACCAAACTTCGAAACACTGAGATTCGTATTGGCAACTTCACACAAGAAGCCAGCTAAAGTTACAGGGAATGGATCTTAAATATTTTTTATCAAAGATTTATTGGAATTACGATAACAGATTTGAGTGCGGATTAAAAGTTAGTAGTGAAATTTAGCCTCTAAAGAAGTAAATAATTCAAGGATACTAGGACACGGTGTTTTATTTTCCGCGTGAAAAATAAAAGTGGACAATATTCAGAGGAAAACTTTACATTTGCATTGTTCTTATACAATCCTTATTTTACAACTTTTGTTCAGAATATCGCTAAGTGATAGGTGAAACTTGAAAGGGAAGAGTGAGTATTCAAAGAGATGTCATGTGACTAGAAAGGATAAAGTATAAGTCAATGATCAACTCATGGATCTCATCGAATTGTGAGCTTTCCCCATTGATAGGACACACCTGCTGCCACACTCAAAAAGGGCGTAGTAAGCTGCATGTGTCATTGTTGGGTGTGTAAGTTAGAAATGGATAATAGTAAGTGGTTACACAAACCACTCAGGGGACTCAGATGTTTATGGTACACAGAGAGACAAAGAGTGCCCCTTGAGATTGATCCAATAGCAGGCGTTCCGTTACATCTAGACCCAAGAAGAGGTTACAACAAGTTCTAGTACATAAGTATTACAAATGAGGTAAAAACGAGCTTATCATATTATCACCTTAAGTTGTGTGAACTAAAATATGGCCATATGAGCTACAACAGGATCATTAAAACAGCATATTTTGGAGTAGTCAGAATATCAGACAGACACATTTGGTTGCCTCATCATTAAATTTCCGGTATTACATCTTCGGTAGCCGTGAACCAAAAAATAATAAGACTAATTTAGAACCAGAGAATAAAGATTGGGGGATGAATTACCTGCTAGTTAATATTTTTGGTAAAGCAAAAGATTGATAGACGTAAGACCTGGTTATCGTGAATCTGCATTTCGAATTCAAAGATCGTGTCGGTATTATAGATCTGGTTGCTATAAAATTTAGCCACCACATTGGATAGCCACCACTGTTGTAGTATCTCCGTTTGCTTTCAAGCGCTTTGGATAGAAAAGAAGGTTGAGATACAGAGACCTAAAAGACAATAATTGTAATCAAAATATCCCAAGACAATCCGAAAATGAGTGGAAACATTTCTATTCAAGAAGGAAGCCTGAGAAAAGCTGATCTGGAGAGAAAAATGTTTGCTTATTTTCTGTTTAAATTATCTCATCCACATAATCAGCCGGCTAAGCTTCCCGAGAATAAACAACAATTTCCGCCTAGACACACCTAACTTACCAGGGTTGATGTCCAAATCCACTGCGTTTATGTCAGAATACTCCGTTAGAATTGCGAGAGCGTTTCAATAAAAAATTAGGTAAAAAATGCTGATCAATCTACTGCAAATGTGACTGAAAATACCAAACATTTCCATCGAACTAAATAATGTAAAATTTTATTGCTTCTGCGAGACCGTTATATGTATCTACATTACATCTGGGCTACATAAAACTAACGTTAATATTGTGACAACTTCTGACCTCAAGAAGCGGGATTCAACATGACAAATGATTTTGGATGGTGTAGCAGAAAATTCGACATTTTTGTCGCCTGGCTGATAATCGCGAAAATACTTTTGGTTGTGCCAAATCGGTTTCTTGCTACTAATATGGAACCCTCATGAGACTTCATTAGGGTTGACAGAATAAAGCTTGTTTTGCAAAACACTCAATCACGTACTGTGGACGACAGGTAGAACAAACGTTGCACTTGACAAAACACAAACAACTCAATTTAGAACGAAGCAACATTGTTGTGTTTCAAGTAATTTCCGCTTAAGTTTAAATTACTTTGCATGTGTTTCATTTTAAAGAAGGGCAAAGTATGGGCCACCCGAAGGTGTGTGAGACTAATCACAGGTTCCATAAAATGGCTCCAGCAATTATGGATCTCACACGACGAGGGAAAAAAGTGAATGCGACCGGTGTGACATTTTTAAACGATATCTGACTTTTGTGTTATTGTTGAGGTGAATTCAAGATGGTTCATGTATTGAACTATTCCATCGGTTTTCTTTTCCAGATACAAGCTGAGACAAACAAACTCGCTTTCTTTGGAAAACCGATTGTAGAGGCCAAAAACAAAAGTTTGAGCGGAAAAACAGCACGACCAAAAAGAAAGCTAACGAGATATCTGAAAATCTGATGCAACATTTTCAAAGTCGCTTAGTATTATTTACTCAAGCACAGTGATAAAATTGGTGGTCCATTTGGCTGCGGAAGCTTTTTTCACGAATGTCAACACTGACATGTGAATGTCGACATTAGGCATGAACACAAGTGACGAAAAATGATCAGCTTTTTACAGGGGAAACCACTCAAAAGTTTACGGAAACAGTTAGTGTTAGTGCTACCCCAGGTTTCCGTCAACCTCATTTTCTGCTTGAACTCAAATTGGGCTGATTTCGACAAATACTCTCATTTGCATATTAAATTTGTTTTCACAAGAGGCTAGACTACATCTCCGGTTTTTGATGCTCCTCAACGGACTGCGCTGTACAAAGGCCGTCTCATGTCTCAAGTTGCAAAATGTTATAAATCGTGGGAATGAACCCGCCTGATATGACTTAAGAATGATGAATTCGGTCATGGGTAGTTAAAGGTTTTCAGCAACGTTGCGAAAAGCTTCCTTTTGTGAAAATTAATTGCGATACCACAAAATGCCATCGATGTCGACGTATCACGAAGAACCAAGCATCAGCTAGGCTAAGTAACCTAGGGGTGATGATACAATATAATATTTTTCTACTTTTGTTCAGGCGAAGAACATCGGTTTGGCTTATGCAAAATTTCTGAACATGTCCTTGTGTTCGTTCAAGAGTTTGCCCTTGACATTTTTACGAGGGAACAAAATATTTCCATTTAACTTTGTAACTATGTTTTCATAGTAAAAAGATTTACCGCTCAAAGGCAAACAGCGAGGTAAGAAAATGAACAAAAATCCACCGAGTTAATCTATTTTATTAAATAAAAGCACAAAATAGTGTAGAACTCACCGATCTCATGCGCATCAGTTCGGAGTCCCTCAGCTTTATGCTCAGTGGGTTTGTTACGGAACGTTGGACAATGGGAGCTTCATACGCGCACTTAACCCCGACTTCTTCATTTTGCTTACAATCATGTATACCCCACCCAGCAAACTGGCAATCGGTCAAGCGATTCTCCGCTCCGGTACAGCGTACTTCGTCCATCAGGTAGGCAGCTGGAAGACATTAATGCATAGAAATGCGTGTTTATGCGGACAATATCTGTGCAGAGTTGGTAACAAATATATTTCAAGCGGTTATTCTATTTACTTATTCGTGCCGTAATTGTGCGGAATTTACAAATGTTCCTGATTCACGAGAGATGCATCCTGCCTATCTAATAACTGTCGCCACGTGGAACATTTTATTGTCCGTTGTATAACACTTACGTGCCAATGAAACTGAGACTCTTTCGCTCACAGTCTGAAACCTGAAATAGGACTGGGCGTAGACCAACAAGTGTTGGAATCGTATCATGAATATTTACTTCAAAAGTAGCCCACACAATTTGCTTTTCACTATTATAAAATCTGTTGAAGTAGTTTGCAGATTTATCAAAAATTTTTAAGCAACCCGCTTCCTCAACATTGGAAAACTCTGTAGCCACCTGTCACGTGGTCAGTTTCATTCACACCAACGTAGTGAGAAAACATGTGTGGTGCAAAATTTACTTAATCGATCAAAGCTTCAAGCTCATTACTCAACAGACTAGAGTGATGCGTCTGTTTTGAAGCAAATATATCAAGTTTCGAAGATGAGACTTTTGTCGACGTCCGGTGACACACACATTACGGTAGCCATCTCTGTTCCACACAAATTCCCAAAAAGCAATTGGCAGTGTGGTACCTAGCGTTGTTGACACCTTTGTAGAGTTGACGAACCACGGTTGTAAATACACTTCAAAATGTATAATACTTCTATCTTAAATACTGACAAAACGAGTGAAAAATGTCATCGTTATTAGGATAGAATAATCAAAACAACACATGCATTTTTGAACAAATAGGATAATCATGCGAAAAAACTTTGAACAATTTTGTATTTCGATGAACTGAATAAGAAACCTCCAACAGAACTATAAGTCTGACACACAGGAATGCTGACAAGACCTTCAAAAACATGCAAACGTAATGGGTTTGTAAGCCTAAGGCAGGTGCATCGAGTGGTCTGAGATGTCCATTAGTGTTTTAGGCTGTGACGAATGGATAAAGCCTAAGAATAAAACTAATGCCCATGGGAATCATTCGTCCTTGTGTCATGCGGAACACTCTAGAGCTATTTCTACAAAAATCTACAAATAAATCTTGTGAAAGAAACTTAAGAATCCTAATTCGAAGTATAAGGTTTGTAAGGTTTGCATTTTAATATGTTCGTTGAAGTGGACGTGGTTGGATATATTAGGTCTTAAGCGTATTTTCAAACGAACTAATTTTCTAAAGTAAAATTGTGCGATTGCTTGATATTTGATTGTGCTTCTGAATAGAGCGGTTTTTGTTGCTGGTGTTGCGGAATGCGCGACTTTGTAACGTAACATTTGCTTGAATTTGACCTAAGAATGAGTGGAGTCAATGAATCTCCAGGAAAGTTCAAGAAGACTAGTTCGGGAGAAGATCAGTGTCCAGATTTTGTAACTAAGGTGCAGGTGAGTTTTTCTTCCCTGTTCAATGGTCTGTAACCGGTCAGTTGGCATTTCCCAATAAATAACTCCGCAGAGAAGGCCTTCTTCCTTTCATTTAGTGCTGTGACCAGAACAAAGATGAAAATCCCGTGGCCGCAACCCTTTGATTTTCGGATGTTCGGACCTTCCTGGAGGACTTTGAGGAGTTTGCGGAGGCTTCCGGGCTGGGGACCGATCGGGGTAAGTTGGCGGCGCTCAAGACTCTCCTCAGGGGCCGGGCGAAGGCGGCATTGGATGCGGGCAGAAGAGGCCCTCAGAAGATGGACTGTGTAGCGAAGTTCGACACGCCGGCCGATCGTCAGGAGGCTATGAGGCGGTTCCATACCGTCAGGATGGCACCTGGATCTGATCCGACCGTGTTCTTCGCTGGCCTGCAGCAGTTGTTGGATCGCGCTTTGCCGGGGCTGGAGTGTCGAGACACTAGTTGCTGTCCGACCAGTTCGTCGAAGGTGCGCAGCCTGCGCTTGGTGCCCAGTTGCGGTTGGCACGAGCAACTGGCCAGTTGAATGTGGAGGAGCTGGTGCGTCTGACCAGGGAACTGCTCGCGGCACCACTCGCCACGTTGCAGTCGCAGGAGAAAAGGGATCGTTCATCAGTGGAGGAGCTGCAGACCCGAGTGGACCAACTCGCCGAACAGCTGGCAGCCGTGAAGACGGAATCGCGGAGGCACGCTCGAACCAGCCGGTGCTACATGTGTGGCAAGCCGGGTCACTGGAAGAATCAGTGTCCCTGTACACGATCACTTGTACAAAATAAAACTTTAGAGTCCTCCTCTTTTCCGGGGTGGGTCGCGAATAGCCCACTGACACAAGCTACCATATAAGCCATTTTTGAGGTAGGCGAGAAAAGTAATTAAGTTCGATCGATATAGAAGCGGGCGTATTACTGAGGCGAAGAGGGTACCAAGCTGAACGCAGACCGTGCGCGCTATCCGTGAGAGCTGTTGGTGGATATCGACTGAAGATTGACGGATTGTCAATGCACTCGTTACGCCTAGGCGACAAGTCCGTGCAGCACGCGTTCCTGATCAGCCCAGACGTAGAGCAGACAATATTGGGGGCGGATTTTCTCAAGGGCAAAGATTCCGTGATTGACCTAAAGCACGGAAAGCTGCTGACAAATTATGGCGCAATAAAGCTTGAAGGTTACCCGGGCACTTTTGTGGGTGAGCTGTGTATCCGAAAACTTCCGTCTCGTAATGTACCGCCAATACGGTCCGTGGTCGAGGAATATTCCGAACTTTACACGGGCGATGGGGATCCGTTTGGTTTCTGCCCGTGGAGTGAACGCGGAATGCCTTTGTCGCCAGAACGCTTTGAACCTTATGGCCCCCGCCCGCTGTCACTCCATCTACGGGAGGAGGTCCATAGACAGATTCAGGAGATGTTGAAGAATGGTATAATCGAAGAAGCCAATAGTGCGTACAATTTCCTAGTTGTGCTTGTAAAGAAGACGAGCGAAAAATACAGATTTTGCGTGGATTTCCGGCGCTTGAATGAACTGACCGTAAATCTGGTTGTAGCTGTGCATTCGGTTGCAGAGATTTTCGATTCCTTCCAGCACTCCCGATACTTTACCTTGTCCGACTTGCGCTCCGGATACTGGCAACTACCTATCAAGGAGGAGGATGGGGGGAAAACGGCGTTTGCTGTTGGGTACACCCAATATCAATATAGACGAATGCCGTTTACTTTGTCCGGGGCACCATTCACATTCCGGCGCTTGGTGCTTCGTGTAACGAAGGGACTCCAGAATGTTTCCGTGTGCGGAGACGATATCGTTGTGTACAGCGGTTCGAAAACAGAGCACGCAGTTCACTTGAATGCTGTATTAAATCGGATCCGGGAGGCTGGCCTGCGGATAAATGGAAGCGTAACGAGGCCGCCACTGAGGTCACCACCTGCCCAATCAAACGGTTCAAGTTTGTGTACGTTGGACGATCGATGGACAAGTTACGACGGCGGATGTCGCAGGTAGCTTCTTTGTCAACCATGAAAGCGCAATCCGTGCGCTCTTAAGTCGTGTGTGTTGTCAGGACTGAGTTGTAGGGCTCCACAAAAGCCGTCGCAATGTGTGGAGCTGGATAGACGGCGAACTCTAGCTTCGCCTTCTTCCCATAATCAACGGAAAGTCGCTCCATCAGCAAGGAAGTGAAACCCGATCCGGTCCCACCGCGGAATGACTGAAATACGAGGAAGCCCTGAAGACCTTGACGCTGATCTGACAGTTTCCGAACACGATCTATCACACGGTCAATCACTTCCTTCCCAACAGTGTAATGCCCGCGAGCATAGTTGTTCGCGGCATCTTCCTTGCCACTAATTATCTACTCTGGGTGGAACAACTGTCGGTAGGACCCTGTTCGTTGTTCATCAACCACTGTCGGTTCCAAATCTACAAACACTGCACGAGGAACGTGACGACCAGTTGTCTGTAACCGGTCAGTTGGCATTTCCCAATAAATAACTCCGCAGCGAAGGCCTTCTTCCTTTCACTGGTATTAGTGGACGGAGATTGTCCTGTGTATGCAAAAAGCTTGAACCACTTCAATTGAGTGTGATCCATTCAGTAGCCAAAAATCATATATGTGCTTTTAGATCATTTTAATTTCAAGGCAAATAAGACTCTTATAATTGCCAGTGGGACTTACAGAAGGAATAAATAAATGTATATTTATCCTTGCTAAAGCTGGGACAACCTTACAATACCTTGTGTTATCTACCTATCGTAGTTGAGGACCACATGAGTAACCCATGCAAGTCTCAGCGAACCCAGTTTCTTTTGAATGCATAGATTTTCGTCACGATAAAGCCTTGGGGGTTTATCGGAGGCCAATAATAAACAAAGATGAGCAGAAGGTTTAATGAGTTTAATGAGATGCAGAGGATGCAATTTCCGCAAAACCACATGACCTGTGTCAGCCACAGGACATCTGGCAACGCTTTCTGATTTGATCACAGCAAATGCAACGGATGGTAAGTCAACTATTTCTCATTTGAAATTCTTGCGACATTTTTTAAGTTAGTAATTAGATCGCCATTACATGCAAGACACTACTGCTTTCCTGGCTTAATTATTTTGAAGAGTCTACATAATTTTGGAAGACTTCAGTCGTCCATGGCTGTGAAGTCCTGACAGGCGGGTTGATTCGTCGAGACATTCAGAACAGTCACTGGATTGCCGTCAAAAGCATCCGGAAAAACTGTCAATCTTGCTTGCTTCTTGCTGTTTAAACATAATAATTATGCTGCGCCCAGCTTGCGCGAGGGAATAGTGGTAACAAATTAGTCTTACATATTAAATGTCCGGAAAATAAGGCGCACTACTAAAAGAAAACTGAGTGACTGACTGGATATGACCATGAAGCGCCTCTAAATTGGCCCTCCTCTTTATGACACCTACACCAAAATATTCTCGGAATATACTCGACCAGGTGTTTCTCATGCTGTCTGTCACTAAATTTGAAGGGGCAAGAAGAGGTCTATCTGGTGCACCAACCGCAGAAGAGTTAAAAGCCCTCACGACCAACAGGAACGCGTTGTCCTGAGTAGGCACAAATAACTAACCATGTGTTACCGATTCATTGGACTACTGTGAACCGAAACACTAAGTTGCAAAACATGTATATGGATTGCCCGTCCAACGTATTTTGCATCACTCAAATGAACCATTTCTGGTTCTAGATATACCACACAGGTGAATTAGTACACTTTATGTATCTAATGTATATTTTTTGTGAGCTGAGTACAGAAAGGACAACGATGTTACTTAAATTTTGTTCATTATTTGGCATTTGTGAAGTTTTTGTTGTGTACTTTGTTCCGAAGAAGCATTTCTAGACTACCAACCGGGGGCTGATAACGCTGCGGAATTTGGATCCAGACAAATGACCTAGCCTAACTGTTGCTTAAATTTACTTTCTGAAGTATCTAATCGGCATTACTGGGGCTAGCGCATCCCACCGAAATTACTGTTTTGACCCGGTGATAGTTCAAAATTTGACTGTTTTTCTCTGACTGGGTAAATTTAATGGGTTTATTCCAGGAAGCTTCTTCTGTTTTATTTTTCTTGTTTACACTAATGAGTCTTGAGGAAGAGCCCCTGAGGCTACGTGTAGGAATAAATATTCGCCACACACGTGGGCACCTGCTTCCTAGCTTTTTAAAGAGAATACTGGATAACTTGTTTCTAATTTGACATCCCCAGAGACCACTTTGATTTTTACTAAGAAGTGCATTAGCTTTATTCAGTCGCTGAGTTTGAATAACTGAGCTGATGGACTACATTGTACCGTTTTTTAAATTCATTCCTAAGCTCCAAATGACGGCTACGAAAGTGCTTGCTGGTTGGTTAAGTGATTCCACATTTCGGCACTGTTTATTTGTTCGTTTTGTTGTTTTGCCTATTTTATCAAGGTTTGAATGCTTGGATGTTTGGAACACGAGGTCATACACCATTCAATCGCAAGCTAAAGGGGACAAACCTAGGGTGTTAATACCTTGAATAAACTTTCATTTTTACATCACTAATTTCTGACTGGTTTTCGATGGTTTATTTATTAATCATTCCTCAGCAAATAAATGCTTTCAAAATATTTGTGCGTTGTGCTACGTTAGTTACCTGAAATTCTGGACCCATAATGATTGCGGCGATTTGCTTCCAGTGCGTATCCCATTTTCAGCTGTCGACACACCACTTGAGCCTCCTTCATGGTCCAATGGTCATCACAAATACGACCCCACCCGTAGCCACGGAACACCAACAGAGTTCCCATCGTAGGCAAGGGCCCGTCCACCAACTTCAAATCTCCATCTTGGTGTATATTAGTGTCAAGCGAGAGAGCCAGTGAAGACGCTGCTAGGATTTGCAATGCAACCAAAGACTTCCAATCAAAGTTCCCTGAGCATGCGCTACGCATGGCTTCCGCCACCATACTGCTTCTGGTACGTTTGAGCCGTCGGATATAAGAAACACCCTTGTGCATACCATTATATCGTATGCACCTGCAAGCAACCGGCAGCGCTCTGGTATCAGTGAGTACAATGCCAGAAATGCTAATATTTGTCGTTGTCCGAATACGGGGGCGCGTCCTGGAAAAACGTTGAAGTACATTTTTTGAGACTGCACGTACACCGGTAACCGAACAGTGAATCTGGTTCTAGCGATATAATGAATGGTTTACCGATAGAATCAAATTACTGTTTATAACGTTTTCCGATTTTGATGTCAGTCAGCTTTAAAATGCGCATTTACCCATGAGATTGCGCTAAAGGCATTTGTAATTTTGATTTAGGAAATATCTTTTAAACAGACACCATTTTGCAAAATCTGAATGATACTGACAATTGGTCTAAATTATTTTGCAGACGTAAACAAAACAGAACTCGTGTGGACACTTCATTTTACACCCGCGATACTTTCTCCTGATACTCCGTAAATTAGACACAAAACACAGGTCAAGGTGGTGTACAATAAACGGTCACAGTTTGCAGGTAAAGACACGGCACATACCAGTTATTTAGTGTAAACATCTTTGCTATATAGTGTTTCGGATACAGTTTACAGGAGAAAGTATATTTGCAAGAAGAAACACGAAGCCAATTTTCCAAGAAGCAAGTAGGACCAAAGAGTTTCGGGAATCTTTTAATCGTTACTTCAATCTAGCAATGTAAAATTATGTATGCTTGAAGCCAAAATACTTGGGACGGATAGGGATAATTGGGGCTGCTCAGGAGATGCGTTTGGCGAACATTTTAGTGGAAAAATAAAAGAGGCAGTCTTCCGGAGATTTCGTCTTTTTTCTAACGTATTTCTGGGTTTTAGTGGAAGGACGCCACTTTAGACCCGGAGAATTTTTGCCGAGCATTGCCAGCTGGAAGCATCACATGTGCATTGATATGGCTTTAACACGTCTGCCTTTTCAAGAAGGCCAGAAGAATGACCCAAAATGTGAAAAATTCTTGTTAAGTGTGTGTGTAGTTTAGGCTCACAGAGAACCAGCTAATAAATTTAGTAAAAAACAAGGGTAAAGCAATACGGATTCGTAAAACGAGCAAGATAAGTGGTTTGGAGTTAATCAGATAAGTTCACCAAATATCTCAAATGGATTAGCTAACCGCCGTTTCACCTGGTCGTGCAGGGGATTTTGATCCTGCTACCTTGTGCCAATTGTTTTTCCACGAAGAGTATACATGATATTTCTGTCCCTTGTTATTTTACTGCTGGTAGTGCTATCCTTTTGATAAAATATGTCTTGTACTGAGGATATTCTTGCTATTTTCTATCTAACTGGACCGATGTTATCAATTTTAGCCATGATCCATCCTGTTATGGGAATTCTCTCCGTAATTAAACTGAGCCCTGTTTCAACGCTTCTTTTAAAATGTTCATGTATTGAACAAGATATAGAGATGTCTATGAAGTTTGTAGTGATCAACCTGGGAGTTTATAAATGATAGTGGACGTATGCTTATCATCAACATTCTGTGGAATCGCAAAATTAGTGAATTATCTTTCTCATAGGCAGAAAAATACCATGGCAAATGTACAACGATTGTTACATCGTGGTCTTTTTTGTTTTATTTTTTTCAGTCAAAATGATATGGTTTCAAAATTAAACGCATGTTTTGTCGTTTGCAGTGTAGGAATGATATCACTTAGAGTCGATAATGACAGGCTTTTATCAACTATGCCTCCGAGTCGAGCAGTGCTACCAACGATAATTTTTACATCTGAGATATATATAAATTTCTTCTATCAGATATTTGCACCGTCTTTGAAGAAATAGTCACTAATTGCGGCACATTTTACTATTCATCGCCTGTTAATTTGCAATAACATCAATTTCCTTTGAAAAGCACTTCAACCGTTGTGACAGAATTGTTCTGGCACGCACACCACAAAATTTCTAAGCAATGGATTAGTGTCGCATTTATTAGAGCTAATGAGTACGGCATATCCTTTGTTACGTAAAGATTCGGATGCCTTCCGGGCAAAAGGCGAGGTGAACTTGTTATGTGAATGCAGCGCGTACCCATAAGGGGAAATATGTTTACATTTGAGCGATATAATCAGCTCAGAAATATTGTCAATATTGCCAGGGACTTCGATCCGTTCGATAAATTCAGGCGGAAATGACATCTACTACGGTACGAAATGGCCGCAAAAATACTGGCACAAAACAACATGGTTTTTTCTCTATGTTTGATGTTTTGAAATGAGGTAGGCTTAATGTGTCGAATGCGAAGATAATGATACTTAAAATTTGCAATCGAGAAAGTAGGCATAGTGTAGTGTGAGGTACAGTAAAAATTATATTTTTCGACTCAGAATCAAAGGTAATTTCCAAGCGCTTCTGTAAGCGAAAATTGACCAGTAAAAGCAATTCACTATAAAAACTTCCGTTGTCAGACTGGAAGATCGACAGCCCAATAAACTTTCACTTTCTCAGGGGCGTTCTGCTAGCCTCTCATTTTTTGTGTGCAGATTTCTTGGGACCATTTCTTGCTGCGATTAAGTCATCAAAGCCGACGAGCAAATTCTAAAACACCGGCTATTTCTGATGTGACGATTGCTTAGCCCGCAAGACATAAAAAATTTGGCACTTTTGATACAACCTGAGCTCCTTTCTCCTAAAAAAATATAACTTACTTTACTATATCAACCTTTTTTCCTTCCCCATTCGTGGGAAGAGCTACAACCTGACCCAACAAATTTCTGGTATACAAAATCGGCGTTATGAGTAGAGCTGCAATTAACAATAAGATAATTTTTGGATTGCGCAGTATAATCTTAAATCACCGTTTAATAATTATTGACTAATTACTATTTGTGACAATGCTTTTCTGGTGAAGGCATTGGTTGGTTTATGTGAGAAAATGTGACAGGTAGATTATCTGCATCGTTCATCAAGGTAATGTACATGATGATCGTATATAACTAGCACTCATTCACCTGTAATTTACATTTTTTCCTTACGCAGGACACAGTCTTTGAGCACCACAATGCGGCCTTGATTTTTTGAGATTCATTTTTTCCACTTTGTGGTGAGAATGTGGTCTACTGCATGCCATTTAAACTGTCACCTCACCACAACTATCATACTGCACTTATCGCACACTTGTGGTTATGAGCATGCACGACGTCTTTTAATCTCATGCGGAGTTGATCAACTTCCTAACAAAATAACACTGTTGTATCGCCAACATACTATTTTTTTCATTTAGTGTTTCGAGCTCAAGTTTGTATTTTTTGTCGTCGCCAATAGTAGCCACGTTCCCACTGAGCTTATACGCTACATTTTCGACGATACCCACGTGGGGTGTTCAGCTCCACATGATCAAACTGACCATGAGGGATGTTGCCTGCGGGCATATAAAATAAAAACCGAATTCATGTTCTAGGTAGCACTGTCCTAATGTCCTAATGTCCTAATGTTTGAACATGCCTGTGGGCATCCACGGAAAACACCTGAATAATACAATATTCGACTGCAGACCGGATAAAAGTCTAAGCTTTGCATTCGTACCCAGCACGGTGAGATACAAAAGCTCCAGTTTTGGGCACGAAAGTCTATAAAAATCAATTCATCAAGTTGCTGATACAAGGTTTTTGAATGAGTGTGAATAGACAGAAGGAAATCGGCTAAGGCGTTTGTACAGTTCTGAAAAACAATGGGTAGAAGCACCAATAGATTGGAGTCTGTTTGGCCTTACACATTTTTTACTAGTCACGAAAAGGTAATCTACATTTTGGTTTACGGCGCGAGGATTTTGGGATGCAGTAGGTCAGCAATGTCTATCGGAAATACTGAGCTAAAAAATCCGTAACTTAGTAATGACATGAAATATGTTTATTTAAACCGCAACAGAATGCGAAAGATAATAGGTTTGTCATCGTGCACTGATAACCAAACTGCAATAAGTTTATCATCCTCGTGTTAGATCCCTTTCAGGTAGGAGATCATAATAGGGGTGCTTTTGGCAGGTTAAACCAGAGACTGGCAAACAACATTTCGCTCAATCTTGTTTGAATTTACCAGTCACCAACGATCAGTAAATCTTGAAAAAATGAGAACTTACGAAAATTTCTTAATTACTGTAAACATTTTCCACCTGCGAATGGTAATGGGGAATTTCTTCTGTTGACGCAAATCAAGAAGTTTAACTCCATAAGGTGTCCTGTCTTTAAGCAACGGTTTGGTATTATGCGGGTCCTCTCTAAATCTGGTTTGACTTACCTAACACTTTCGTACATGAGTTTCATAAAATTGTATGCACCTTAAGGGTAGATATATTTGGGAAAAAGGTTGGATCTCTATACTGATTTATCTTCTGGAAACCAGATATTTCCACGCAAATAATAGTCGCGATGAAGGTTTAAAAATTCATGATCGACTATCCATACATTAGGGCCAGAAAAAAAGCACAGCCCAATAGCGTCATAGAATGATTTAGCCGTAGTACCCTTTTTGTGCCTAAATGCCATGCATTCAGAACGATGCACGACCGATGAAATATTGTCAGTTTGCCGAAGACTAGACAAACGAGGTCGAGAGGCAGAGGTCGCTTTGGTACCACAGACATTGTGGTCAGTAAATGTGAACTCCAGCCGCTTGGCCGTCTTATACCCAACAGCGTCATAATTTGGCAAACAAGCTTGAGAAAAGCCAGGAAGTTTAAGAAACTCCACTATTTAAAGTACAGATCACTGAACTAACTAGATAACCTCAATGGAACCCATTGTCACGCGAACAGATCTGACAGCGACAGCAACCTTCTAGATGATGGGAAAAATTGGTCCGGTTAGAGGGCCTGCGACAATGCGAGGTGAAAAATTCGGAGATTGGTTTAACCGGCCTACTCAAAAATTGATTCATAATTGAGAGACAGCAAACGTAAAAATGCGGGAAACACTTACTGCTCAATACTTACAAATTAGTTGCCAAGCTA